TGTTCACAATTCATGTGAGGGCAAGTTAAAATGGACCATCACAGATGAAATGGTCAAATTTTCAGTGAAATGATAATTAGTACTATTATCATAATTGAAATGTTATTAACACAATAAGATTCTTCATCTTTTTCATTCATAGTCGATCATTGACTGAAATATTACTGATATTTATTATAATAAAATTATAATAATAAACAAATTCTTCTAATAAATTTTCTTCATCTCGAGCCTAAATGTTGATATAATAATATAATACAGTATATAATAATATATAATAATAATAATAATATATAATATATGTAATAATAATAATAATATATAATATATAATAATATACACTATATAATAATATTATACAGTAATAAATAAAACTCTTCATCTTCCTCATCTTCAATCAATCATTGTTAATCATTTTTCAATCCATCTTTTATGTTTCCTCATTGTTTATTGTATGTTCATTTTGGAAATTCATTTCATTTTTGGTGCATTTGTATAAAATATATCCAAAAAAAGTATAGTGTTTTCTGATGATATTCCTTACATAGAATTTTCTAACCTTGGTCCGATCTTTTTAATTATCTTGAAAAACATAAACAATACATTTGCATGAGGATCTACAATTTATCGATGATGATTCATAAAATCAGTATCAATGCAATTCATTTACAATATCATTTACAGTAAATTCGTTCAAACGAAAATTACAGAATATATATAAAATCGAACACATAAGATATATATGATATATATAAAAAATATATACAAATATAAGATAAAAAATATATACATAAAATTCAATATATCTAAGATATATATAAAATTCAAAATAAAGAAAGAAATACACGCATGAACTGAAATATATATAAAAAGATATACACATAAAACTGAATGTATATAAGACACATATATATAATATTAATAAAATTAATAATTTTAATTATAATTATAAATAAATTTAATATTAATTATATATAAAATTGAATAAAATTCAAAATAAAAAAAATATACACTAAGATATATGTGTAAAAAAATATATACATAAAATTGAATATATATATAAGACATATATATAATATTAATGAAATTAAATTATAATTATAATTATAAATAAATTTAATATTAATTATAAATAAAATTGGATAAAATTTAAAATAAAAAAAATATACACTAAGATATATGTGTAAAAAAATATATACATAAAATTGAATATATATATAAGACATATATATAATATTAATAAAATTAATAATTTTAATTATAATTATAAATAAATTTAATATTAATTATAAATAAAATTGAATAAAATTCAAAATAAAATATATATATATATAAGATATAATTGAAATAAATAAATATTAAATTGTTTAAAATTCGAAATAAAAAAGATATACACATCAACTGGCTTACCAATTTCACTTAAATGGTAACATCACACTTCGGTTTACCATCGATCTTATGCTGATCAAGAATATATAACGTACATTGGCTGGAACATTTGACCTTTGCCATTAGTCACGATAACGTACACGTGTTTTACACCTTGTGACTTTACACTAACGAGGTTTTTCACTGTCAAGGACACAATGTGATGCCATTTTATTGATACCGGTGTCAATTTCTAATGTCACGTGCACCCTTGTTCATAAATGTCAGGATGCCTTTGTCTTATCAATCGACAATTATCTTGGGTTATCGAGTTCCAAATAACTTGAATTACCATGCGAAATAATAATATAAAGTCATAGTGAAAAATAATTTTCAGAATAGAATTAGAGAATAACGAGAGTGTCAATTACATGTGATTGTGCAATGTGCGATGTGAAAAAGTTGTAGAAAAGTTCAAAGATTGACAATTTTTCAGATTTTTTTGATTTTTCGTGATACTTTAATTTCATGGAGTGTAAGTTTCGAGTATAACTTTTAGATCTGTTTCGAACCAAACTTAATATTCGAAATCATTACAGTTACATTTCACCGTAGTGTCACGTTACTATAATATTTTATTTATATAATGTTTATCATATTTTATTTAATAATATTTACATTATATTATTATAATATCACGAACATATTTCAACGAAAGAATATCTGAATTTCTATCTCTATTGCAAAAAGTTTGCCTGAAGTTTCATTTGTATATCAAATTAGAAATTATGATAAATGCCTCGGAATTTTTTCGGATTTTTTTATTAGACTACTGAGATGAAAGTGGCGTTACTGAGAAAACTATATTGCCGGTGAAGAGTTAACTTACTTAAGCTCTTCGCATAATTTGAAATTAATCCCATGCAGTGAACATAGTTGCTGAAAAAAATTCAAGGTGAACGCGAGAAGCAAACAAACTTTTAAATAAGTACTTTATTTATATTTAAATGCTTTAATCGATGAAGTTTGCTCGCCTTGAGAACACACATTTGAAAACTTGTAATGTGACTAAAGAGTCAATTTACAGCATTATTGCGAAGGAGGGTCTTTTTGCAACGAAGTTTTCGTGGCTTTAATTTCTTTCATCATCGAATGAATCATCAAAGGGGAATTTTATTAGTCATCTACGATTACGAGAAACACCTATAAAAAAAAGGTATAAAAATTAGTAGAAGAAAAATTTTTAAGACTGTTAATCCTCGTTAATTCTGCATTAAAAAGTTCATCAATACAAAAATTCTTGGCGGTTGAAATTCGTTCTTTTGATCTCTTAATTCTCCGTGAACGGAATTTCGTTCGTCGTGAGATATTGATACGACGATTAATAATACTTCGTGATCATTTTTGAAGATTTAAATAATCTCCATTTTGTCTGAATAAATTGCTTTCGATGCACGCTGAATTAAATTGCCGATTTTTATGCATTCATAAAAAAATAAGAAACAATTCCAAGATCCACTTCTTAAATGATCTTCATCAAGTGATTGATCTCTGCAAATACTTGGATGTATACTTTTTTTTAATTATCATCGCAAATCAATAAAGTTTTAAATAACATTTTAAATACTCGATCATCTTCAAAACACTTAGGCTTCATTTTCTTGATTCTTTTCATGAAAATCTCTGCATCTCTGAACTGCATGAACGAAAATGGTCCAATAACAACGTACAGAATGAAAATCTGTACGAGAATGTAAATTTCAAATTATATGGCATTGTAGAAAGTTGAAATATGACTGATAACAATGGACTATTGAAAAAACCATATTTTTAACACTTAATTAGTATCATTGGATGATAAATGGTGAATGTAATTAAATTAAATTAAATTAAGTGATTTAATCTTATTTTGTATTGCACGTTATACATATGTATAAATTATTAATAATTTTTGTTACATAGAATGATGAATACAAAATAAAATTAAATAATTTAAACAGAGTAATAACATTTAGACTGTATATGGATTTTCACGCATATGGGAATTTCTTTTATTTCTTATCTTTTTATTGTATTCTCAAAACTATCAGTTTGTATAAAAATCAGTCTACTTACACATACAACTGGATAATTCAATGATATCAGTTCAGATTTAAGAATCGTCAACGCAGTCAAAATAACTGGTTTGTAATTTTCATTAAAAGATTTCCAAGATTTTCTATAGTATTTTTTCTATAATAGACATTTCGTGCGATTTTCATGCAAATATAACTTTTACCATAACAAATACAAGCGAATTTTTTGATAAATATATTTCTGGCTTTGCAATCTTTCGTTTCGATCATTTCAATATTTATACTAACGAAAAAATTTGAAATCATTTCGTACGAATTGATCAATCTATAATCTAGATTTGACTCTCTGCACAATTTCTTTATAAAATTAATTACAATAATTTGAAGCGAAATTTTCTAAAACAAAAGGTTCAGCAACTTCTCCTCTTTGTACAATTTTTATTCGCTGAAAATAAAAACGATACGCATCTTATTAATATTAATAAATAATTAATCAAAATCCTGGGGAATAATCCTTGAAAGAATGCTGCAAGTTAAATGCGATAATCCTTTTCCGTCAAAAGAATTCTTTTTTTTTAACAATAAACACAAAGTGATACTATAATAGTATGAACTATAATGTCCATAAATTAAGTAACCATATTAAATAGTATGAACTATGATGACCATAAATTAAGTACCATAGTAGCATAGATTTACTTTGAATTTTGAATTTTGAATTTCTTTTCAGATCCTCGTGTCGTTGTGTGTCAATATCAAAAATATTACAATAAATACATAAATTTTCTTTCTGAAAATTACTTTAAGTCTTATCATCCTATTAACCCAAATGCTCAAATTTCACTCCCTCGTGTTAATTCGTAAAAGATTTACAAAACGTTTCGTAACTTAACTTGCAAATAGATTTGTCATTAATTGAAGGAAAATTTTCGCTCAATGTATTATTCTAAAGTTACAACGCTCGAAATAAAAAATACATATACGTGGTACAATACACCAACAAACAATTTCTTCATTCCTTCCATCTCCGAAGATACCTAATCGACACCCATCTGTCCTAAGCATCTAAGAAGCCTATTACCAATAAAAAAAACAAAACTGAATCTGGAAAGTGAACAACAGACAATCAAACCTCTGATAAAATGATTAATCTTCCCAAATGATCCCAAACTTCTCAACCAATCTAATACTTCTCAGCAAATCTAATACTAATATCCGTATTTTTGAAAAAGCACCTCTCTACTTAAACCAGCCGTGTGTTTTATGAGCATGAATGGCAACAGGTACGGGATAAGGTTTGGGAACGTGATACGGCACTGCTACGTGGACAGGATAAGGTCTGTCCACGTGGACCACCTTCTCGAAGGGAACCGGATATGGTTTCGGTACCGGAACGGGAACAGCCACTGGCCGATCCACTGGCACGTGGACTGGCCTTTCAAATGGCACTGGCACTGGTCTGTCAACGTGTACGATCTTCTCCACGTGCACCGGATACGGTTTTGGGACTGGAACGGCTACCGGTACGGGAACAGGACGATCCACTGGTACAGGCACTGGCACGTGTCTGGTCACAGGAACTGCGACTGGGACCGGATGTGCCACTGGCTGAGGCACCGGTACTGCAACTGCAGCTGTTGAAATGGGAAATAAAGCGTTGATTTTTAACATTTTTATACCATATAGATAATTATGTTTTATATCATATATAATTATATATATTCATACATCCATTTTATTTTTAGATCGTTAATTGGCGTGCACAGGATAATTGCAAAATAACGATTAAACATTTTATTAATAAAAATTTGATGATGGATAACAAATTGATATTAAAATAAACATAGATATTGAAGTTCGAATAATTTCAATTGTATGATTCTTTGATAATGTTGAAGTTAAATATTCATTTAATATTAAATCTAGAATAAAAAAAATAATGCCAATGAAATAATTATAATTATAAATAATATAATAAAATTATGAAATGAAATTATCAGAATATGATGAATTTGAATCTTGAAATATAAATGTATTTCATGTTGAAGTTTTTAATAAAAATATAAATTTTACATTTGAAACACTATTCTGCTATATTGAAATTAAATAAAGTTAAAATTATTTATTGAAGAGAAGCGTTCAGCCCCCTCTTATCAACTGAATCATTGCACTTTTTTGCCTAATAAGAAAGACTAGCCAGTGTAAAATTCGACAAAAATTCGATTTTGAATTTTATTGATTGTACTGGATTTATTTTCTGTAGGAACATTACTTCTCTGCTTAGGAAGATTGCTCCTTGTTCCTAGAGGTGACAGCTCTGTTTGAATGAACTAAGCTAAAGGCTAATATGATCCTAACTAACAACAAGTAAAATAAAATGGAAATTTTTAATTAGTTTCTTAATTAATTTTGAACCAACTAGCTCCCTACATTTTATTACACTCTGTATTTAATTTTAAATATGAACGAAATATAATAAAATTAAATCAGTAATCTCTATATTTTATTTTAATTCGTAGTTTAACTTTCTGTTCAGTTTGTTGATTAATTTCGAATACAAAAAAAAACTGGACAAAATAGGAGCCATCGACTAATAATTTAGCCTTATTAATTAAGCTTTACTAATAATTTATTAACTGATCCTAAATCAATGATTTTCATATCTTATCTCAATTCACAGTTAACTCTCGCAGTTAGTTTGTTAATGAATGATTTTTTTCTTACAGTCGACAATTGATTAAAAGAAGATATTGAACAAATACATGTTCAAAGATGAATTTGTTTCTTAACTTGTTGTATTTCCCTCGTTCGATATTAGATTTTGAAACTTTTGGCAATTTAGCAAGCACTCGAAAGTTTAATTCATCAGGTAATTCTTTAGTTTCTTTAATTTGTTATTAACTCTAAAAAAAATATACTTTTAATCTTAAAATATATACGAACGGGCTGCTGGTGGTATAGCTGGCGGTAGAGGAGGAGGCACTGGTGCTATCACCGATTCGAAGTGTCCACCTACTTCCGGAACAGAAGACTCGATAACAGGTGCCGGTTCTTGAGGACCAAACACATGTTCAGGTATACCGTATTCCAAGTTCACGAGCCCTCTTTTGTCATGTTTCTTCGATGCGAAAGATTTGGTCTTCTCGTGCTTGTCAACAATAGTAATTGCTGCACTGACTGCCAGGAATAACGAAAGTACCTACGAATAACATATAAACGTATTGTATTAACAATAAAATCATTCAGTCGCAACCAATTTAATCACTAATATAAATTCTTAAAAGTAGAAAATTAAACACGAAGAGAATGAACGAACGACAAACTCTGAATATATATGCGAACAAATCAAATTGAAGAAAAGAAAATTGAAATAATCCTCGTGATCAATGTTAGATCTTAGCTACGTCGCAATTTGATCGCCAACGTAATAAATATTTTCTCGCTGTTGAAACTCAGTAACTTCGCTATTATAAAAAGTAGAGATTAAACACGAAGAAAATGAACGAGTAATAAACTCAAAATATATGAACAGTAGATTGAAAAAGAAATTGAAATCCTAGGTCACTCATCGATCACTCACTCAACTTTAATCACTACAATAAATACTAAATATATAAATATCACTGTTCGAACTCGACAATTTTCACTGTTAAAGAAAAGATATAAATTGAACACGATGATATATATACAAAAATTTTGAAAAATCGAGGAACGAAACGATACCAGGATAATCCTCATGATCGTAATCCTCGGGAGACTCTCAGCTCGCGACTAAACTGCGTTTGCACGCTATCGGTGACCCCCATAAGTATTTATAGGGCATCCACAGGTGACACATCACGCTAGGAAGGCACCATCGTTGTCTTCATTCAACCCAGTGGACTTTCGCTGCTTCCAATCCTGGGTGATGGCCAAATAGTGCTCGTGGCCGATTTTCTCTCGTTCGCATTTGATTACCAACGTAACAATAATAATTGTATACGTACGTGTAACAAAACAAGAAGAAGGGATGATCGTTCATCATTCACGCGAGCCGTGAACATTTCGCGAACGACGAGTATCGTCTTCTTCGAGATCGTTCAGATAGCCGAGCTACGGCTAGGTGAAAATTGTCTACGTGAACATTCAAATTAATAAGAATAGCGATGCGTCGAATCGTGACACGATTCTGTGGCAACCTCGTTACGCGATTGGAGCGACTTGGTTCCGTGACTTTTTGCTTTATATCCTGACAGAAGCGTCGAGTGCATTCATAAATGAGAGAGAAATACCGATGTCGATTTTACGTAAGTGTGTGAGCTGTGCATTTGAATATCGTTTGTTGGTCAAATGATGGTTGAATGTACAAGGTGGGGCCGAAGGTTTCTTCCCACCTATTTTTTTTTTTTTTTTTTTTTTCATAAAACATCAAAATATAAAAAAAATAGTGATAATAGGAAGTGATTTTTTTAGCCACCTTTTATACATGAATCATTGAATATATGTAAATAAAAAACAAATTGATTATTAATTTGGATGTGATATTACATTATAGTAATGTTTTAATACATTATATTGTATGTAGTATAATCTCGTATCGGTATCAATAGTAGTATAATATTAATATTGTATGTAATACTAGTAGAAGTATGTAATATTAATAATGATATATGATATTAATAGTAATATGTAGTATTAGTAGTAGTATATAGAATTATAGTGCGCAATATCATGTTATACATGGTATTAATAATAGCATGTAATATTAATACAGAATTATATTGTGTGTAGTATTATATAGTGTACTATACAGAATTATATTGTATGTATTATATAGTGTATTATAGTGTATTATATTGTATATATTATATAGTATACTATACAGAATTATATTGTGTGTAGTATTACATAGTGTACTATACAGAATTATATTGTGTGTAGTATTATATAGTGTACTATAGAGAATTATATTATATGTATTATATAGTATATTACAGTGTATTATATTGTATTATATTTTATGTATTATACAGTGTACTATACAGAA